TGCCCAGGTAGCAAGAGGATTCGAACGCATATACAAACGCAGTCCGCTGACGTGGCCAACAGAGCTGCAAGTTGACCCCGGACGGGAGTTCATGGGTGACGTGTCACAACTGCTAGCCAAACACGATACAAAGGTCAGGCGTGGCACGGCTGGAGCCCATCGCAGCCAAGCCATAGTTGAGAGATTTAATAGGACTTTGGCAGAGCGCTTATTCGGACATCAGTATGCGAGGGAGATGGCAACCCCGGGGAAAACGATCGACTGAATGGGTCGCGAGGTTACCCAAGGTGGTGTCGGCAATCAACCATGAAGTCACCCGGCTCACTGATAAGAAACCGGCAGACGCTATCAAACTAAAATCAATAGTTGCAGAGCCGGCTGCTCCATTGCGTGGGAAGGAGAAACAGATACCAGATAGGGCCCTAGTGAGGTATCTATACCAGCCGGGGGAACACGAGGGTGATAGCCGTAGGCGAGCCACCGATCCTATATGGTCAGTCAAAACTTACAACATAGATAAAGTGGACATCAAAGCAGACGAGCCTAACTTGTACTACTTGAGGGATGGGCCAGGTAGGGGGTTTGTGAGAGAAGAATTATTGATCGTACCGTACGGTACAGTGTTACCTCCAGTCAACACGGCATAGCGGTGTCCCATTACTTCCCCCATGCCCCCGGTAGCGCGGCTAGGAGGTGCGTTCGCATCCCCCAACTTTTGTAGTAGGGGTAATGGTAGCAAGAGCTAAGGGTCCGACCAAAGCCTTACTTGTGAAATAAGGCTTTGCAGAGGCTTTGGTTGAAAGTGATCCAGAACCGCTATCGGCCCAAACTTTTTCATAGTAGGGGTAATGGTAGCAAGAGCTAAGGGCCCGACAAAAGCCTTATTTGGTAAATAAGGCTTTGCAGAGGCTTTGGTTGAAAGTGATCCAGAACCCCCATTGTATATACTACTCTGATTGTCTTGCAATATTAAAAAGTCTCGTTATGAAAATATCAGTTGTTAACTCACATACCTAACCTCAAGTCAATCACAAATTACTTTTGCCTTTAAGCATACATACTTGTTTCACCTATTACAAATATCCACCAATAATTGTGAAAAGGCAGCATAGCGACATTGTGACATAAAGCATATAGTAGCAGTAGGTTGTATAGGTGTACCCAAGGTGAAAGGGTAAAGGAGTTATACAACGGAAAACTGACACATTAGATTCTCTCTAGTTGGTTTCGTCTTCAATCATATCTTAATACTCTTGCATTAGTACGTTTGTAAGGCCACACCGCATGCATTCATGTGAAAAACAATAAAGAATAACATTGGAAAGGCCAGTGTCTGGAGTGTTGGTAGTACCTTTTGGCAAATCTCACCTTTTTATACGTGACTCCGTTGAAACTTGACACGTTTTCATTGACCATGTGCCAGGCAATGGATGTGCATATCCGTTCGGAGAATAGAACATTGGTGGCTCCGCATGTCTCGGAGGCTGCACATGCAGCAACACATTCAGACATGAAGGACGTATCTTGTACTTTTGGGATTCATGTCGTTTATCATTTTTTCAAATTTCGAAATCCTTGTTTTCGAGCTCACCACAGAGATTGACCCTGCCAAAATCAGAACCGTTCTTAGACACATCATACTGATGTTGTGTGTGTCACTCGCTCTAATGTTAATGTTTGTTCATCTGTTTGATGTTTCTTGTTCAACTGTGATGGGTTAAAGAGTTCAACGAAAGGTTAAAGAGTTTAACAAAGCCTAACTAAATGAGCATTATAAGTGTCTTCATTCAATGGTGACTTTGAAATCGATCTTCTAAAGACATCTAAGGGTTGACAATGTGCTCCGCTGAACCAGAATGAGTTCCCAAGCATCTACATCACCAACTCGTTCAATGGTTTTGGCTTTGAAGATATCGAATGACCGAGCGGTCTTGAGAGTTTTCTGTAAGTTTACGCTTCGGCTACTGGCGATTATTAAAGTGAAAGCCAAACAGGTAAGAAATGCTACGATTAATAAAACGTAGGATGTAAACTACTTTAAATGAGTGTGTGAGTTTAGTTTTACGCCGCTTTTAGCAATATTCCAGCAATATCACGGCGGGGGACACCAGAAATTGGCTTCACACATTGTATCCATGCGGGGAATCGAACCCGGGTCTTTGACGTGACGAGCGAACGTTTTAACCACTAGGCTACCCCACCGCCCTTACTTTAAATGAAATGGGACTTACGTACCTACGTGAAATTATTTTACGCTACTTTAACCAACTTTGAATGAATAGACAATGGCAATAATATTTGTCAATTCATTCCCCCAAATTCACCTACACTTACACTTGTATATATGGATGAAACGAACGAGTTATCCCTTGTGATGCAAACGTCAATACAGTAAAGTAGGTAATAAATATTCATGACTGTATCTGCAGTAGCTAAAACCGCATCGTCTTAAATGACCTCTTCAAATCTGAACTGTCAGCCCAAGTGGGTGTAACCAATCGTGAGAGTTAGTTTGATTTCATGCAACTAATTGATATCTACATGAGCGTCCTACGTCTTGTACATTAGATCACGGATGTGACATCTCAGTACAGGCTTATAATCACTGTATTGATAAGAAATAGTGTCACAGATTTAGAAGGCTGCATTCTTTACCTAGACTCGTTACAAGTTTTATTGTAAAGATCCTCATCAGAATGGGAATTGGTGGAATACGCAGACAAATATTAATGGGCACATAATTACAACCGGCATTTGTTTTGTGTCATATTGTAGTTTCACCTCTACGTTTTGAAGCACGTAACCTTATCAAATGACTTCGTCTGAAAACTATCCAAGCATGTCTTGTGGGGACTGGGTTCACATATGTGAAGATGTGTGACCATTCATGCATATAGATGGACGTAAACATGTTCAAGGACATCACCACGTATACGTCAAACAGATATCGGTTCTACGTCACGGATCTGTGCTGACCCGTTGAGGTGAGTGCAGGTTGCCACTTGTTTACAGGGATGTGGGCTTTTGTTCATTTAGCTAAAGCTTTCAAATTGCTTAGTTCAAAGTCAAAAGTTGAATTGGTCACACTTGCTAACGTACTTGGCTTAACCGATTCTGTCAATACATATCGATTCTTGGTATAAGGTAAGAGTCAGTTTTGTCAGTTTTAGAACAGCATCCATCCGTTTCATGTCATATCGGTTCAGCTTCTGCGCCTGGTGAACTCCAGTCACGTTGATTGGCAAAACTGACCTCTCTGTCAGTAATATCACTGTCTGCCATAAATTGAACTTACTCCTTTAAGGCTTCATGCTTGATTGGATAAATCATGGATGTTTCATAGGCACAGCGCCACCTACATCTATACTCAAAGGCAAAAGCTATTGTGACATACAAACAACATAAAGTTAAACAAATGACGAAACTTATTCACCAAACATGGATTTCGAAAACCCACGTACAAAAACAAACGTCCACTTGACACCGACTGTGGCGATAACATAAACATAAACCAATGGACTACTGGTCGCGTTTCAAAGTGATATACTCTAGACAAGACAATGTTAAATGTGTACCCTTTTGCGTTATCTAAAGACGTACAAGTCTTTTCAGAAGAGTCCAAACACATCAAATACTTGCGTTCAAGTGCATTACTAATTGCATGTTGTAAAAGGCAACAGACTGTTCACATAAATCAAAACATATTGAAAATTGTTCAAACATATATTTGTCAATCAAACCGATTTTCTTAATTGTTGCAATTGTTTCTCTCTTTCCCATCTTTCTGTTCTTTTCTGTCCATCTGGTAGAATGAATGTAAAAAATACTATGTAATAGAGGGTGTTCTAAGTTGTATAACTTGTACCCAATCCTTTTCTCATGAATAAAATATGTTTAAAACAAACAAAACAAAGGCAACAGACAAATCTGACGACAACTGAATCATGTGTTGGCACTCAAGAATCAGTCACTGCGGACAGAAAGCTGAACAGTAGTTAAAGAATCGATTGTTTGCTGACATGATAGAAAATTGTCTCAGAGGTGAAATACCAAGGCCTGACTTACATTTAACGAATCACAACCCGTAAAACAAAGAAACCCTTCAAACAACACTAATCGCTTTTCCTTTTCATCTCCAACTGTCCCCAAATCGATAAAGGCATGTTATTGTTGATACCTATGTTCCAAATCCTCTTAGATGCTTCCAATGTCATTAGTACGGCGATGGTATAAATACTTGTACATTGTCTGACATCGTTAACAAGCTGAAGTGACTGCAACAAAGTGATGAGAGGTATAGATGCATGATATATTTGGACAAGGACCAGTTTAACAATAACAAGTACTTGTTGTGATGCAATACACAAGTTGTTATCCACAAAGCTGCATCTTTCTCTCTTTACGAAAACGTTTGATTTGATTTCAGTTAGCTTGTGATTCGTCTTAACAGCAGGTCTGATATTGCGATGGGCAGATTTGTACCGACACAGATTGCAGTAAATAGGGTTTGTATTCTGTTTGAGCGCACAATGTGTGTCTGACGTCTCCAGCCACAGATCGTATGAATGACGTCAGCACGTCCACGCAGCTTGATTGTTGTGGGCTGTTTTAGTGACAGAATCATGCAAAGGATGTGATATATTAACTCCAGCTGTAATAAGCGTAAAACCATATTTCAAGGCAGTATCATTTGCCGAAGCCCACCCTTCTTCGGAATGCAGTAACTGGTGATTGCACATCATAGTCGTATTCATTTTAAATGTTTTGAAGATGAGGTGAAGTGGAGCGAGGATTGTGACAAAGTTACATTGAAGAAACGACTCGGTACATTTCGACAATGAAGAAATCATCTATTTCCGGATTCAACAGATTTGGGTTATGTCCAGACCCTAAACCATGTTCTTGTTGATACATAATTTCTCTATGATTTTGCATCTGGATACGCGTGTTCAGGTTTGTCAATGAACTCCTATGTCAGAATCATGACAAGAACAAGAACGTAACATCTTCCACAAAACTTTAATCATGGGGTAGATGCGTATGGCCAGTGCTTTAATTTGCATACAACGCCCTGATCTGGCCGGAAGATTGCTCATAGCTGTGTCAAACCACATTTAGGCATCATTGACTTGATGTCGAATCACACAACCGACTGCAGGGTTTGTTTCCATTCAACAGTGAGTGACTGAGTTTGGTTTGGTAATATTGCTGAATGTTTCTTACGAAAGTGGAAACGGTTTTCACATTTCTGTTTTAACATGATCACGGCATGTCGTCACCATTAAGAAACAATACTGAGCTTTACATCGTGTTACTGTGTTCATGTACATGGAGTCTCTGGAATGGTAGGCATGTATCAGGAAGGTCCACATCGTCCCTCATCATCTCAGAATAAACCTGAATGCTACTCTGCACTCACAGGCAGATTCCGGTCTGTAGACTTCGTCTCCATCAGGAAAGACATTGATACGTCTCAGGTCATCATTGAGGAATCTAATGAGAGTGCTTCTCAAGGTTTTGGAGGAATAGAACGTAACGCTGATAACAAGATGCCCATCAGATATACCTGGGACGTTACACCTGGAGAACATATGCTTAGAAAGATCAGAAAACAGGATGTAGAAATAGCCATTGTCAAAGTTACAGGTCAGCAATCCATCTCGAACTTGTCGAAGACAAGCTTCGTAACCATTTATTTTGCCTTTCCATTTGTCCTTTAATGTTTTCACAAACACTGGCCCCCATTCTTGTTGCCTGTTGCATAACTCCCTCAATCCGAAATATTCCGCGTAGTTCTGTACTGCGAGTGCAGCTTCTGGCGGCGGAAGTGTCTTGAACCTCAGGAAGTTAAGGATGTGAAGGAACACATCTCCATCCACATCGATGAAGAACCGACCATCGTTGTCCTTGGTTACTGGGAATCTTCCACTAAACATGGCCGCCAGCATAGAATCCGGGTACTTGCGGAGTGTGGAAAGGGACGTAGTCAGATGTCGGCCACCCACATTTAGATCTATGACTTCAGGAAACTGCATTAAAAACAAAATGTTCTATCACACATGTATGTATGTATGTGTGTGTATGTCTGTGTGTGTATGTCTGTGTGTGTATGTCTGTGTGTGTATGTATGTATGTATGTACGTACGTATGTATGTATGTATGTATGTATGTATGTATGTATGTATGTATGTATGTATGTATGTATGTATGTATGTATGTATGTATGTATGTATGTATGTATGTATGTATGTATGTATGTATGTATGTATGTATGTATCTATGTATGTATCTATGTATGTATCTATGTATGTATATGTATGTTATGTAAGTGAGTCTATGTATGTATGTATGTATGTGTGGTGTGTGTGTGTGTGTGATATGTATGTATTGTATGCGTGTATCAAAGGTACATAACGAGATTTGCAGCTGTCAGGAAAGTCAACACACCAGGTGTGACTGACTGAAATAATATGGCATTATATTGGCATGGCTAACTTATATGTCAAAAGTGAGGCGTGATTCACCGCTGTTAAGACTTTCTAATACCATAGCATGCAAATATTATTCAATAAAATTTAGTCATACATGTCGAAAACGCATGTGACGTATATCACTGACATTCTGTTCAACGCCAACTCACTCATTAATTTTACATGATGTATTGATTGCAGTCTTGGCAAAATCGTTTGTGTCAGTCATATTTGGTTTACTATACATTTAATATACAGTGACATCAATCCCAAGGAAGATATCACAAATTTTTTATGTGGCTTTTGTATTCAGTTTGAATTGGTATCTGTAACGGTGTAGAAATGTTGATATGATACTGTTCCTATTTTCACTGTTTTTATGTTAAATATATAACATTGTAACATATTTGTCAATCTGTGATAATAAACACAAACATGATTATATTTACCTCAAATACAAATATCCTTTTCACGTTATTTTAATGCGTATTTTCAGTGATACCATGAAATAACTTTTCCCGTTTAGGTATTGACTGGTCGACCTGACCCTCATGTATCATGCTGACTGGGAGATCAAGGCGAAGGTAGACTAGCTTGACGCGTCAAGATACCTATATCGACACCCACGCAATAGAAACTAATACCTCCTGCTACTCGACTTGTCATAATCATATGGTGTTATCTTAAGAGCATGTAAAACTAGTGAGGTGTGTCTTGATCAGCCTACGAGAATATATCTAACAATAATGAAAATATTTCGTCATAAACACCCAGTAATTGCTATGTTAAAATACCCTCATTACCACAATGACGTGCATGACGCGTAAGAAAGACACAAATGACGCTGGACAGTGTTGGTAGCCTATAAACGATTATCGTGATGAACAAACTCCAAACAGATTCTGCAACAGCTAAGGGAAGCAATTCTGTATATTGACTGGCCTAGCTTAAGAAACGTGAACTCCCTGCTGTATAAATGTACGTTAATACCTGCCTAACGGTTTATGAACAAGTTAAGGTACATAAGTAAGGTGACGGACTTTTTGTTAGCATCGAGTTGCCCTAATTTAAGCGATATAGCCAAGAGAAGACAATACAGAGTTAGTTGATCATTTATCATTAGACTATTCGCCTAAAGAGCCCCGGGCGATTTGAACTGGCTCAAGAGTAAGTACAACTGGACAGAGATCAGATTCTGAGAAAACGACGTTGTTGCTCTTCGTACTACGAGCCACTTGTTAAACCACGCCTGACCCAGCTTCAATATTATACACTGCAGCGTACAACAACACCCATTTACAGAAGGCTAAATGTACCTTACCTCCATGTTATTGCTGTTAATGGACGTGTGTGCTTTGTTGCCCTAGCTTTCAGATATCGTTATCAACACGCACTAGTCTATATGCTGTAACAGACACTTCCTCTATGCACGGGTAAATAACACCACCCTGACGTCAGACAGACCAACTGGGGTCACGAGATAAGGTGAGGGTTTCACTGACAAGCGGGTACAGCTGATACTGACTTGTCACACAATCACACTTGATATGTAAGTTGTGTCCCACTTTCTTCACTGTATCTGTCGGGGCGGTGGGGTAGCCTAGTGGTTATAGCGTTCGCTCGTCACGCCAAAGACCCGGGTTCTGTTCCCCACATGAGTACAATGTGTGAAACCCATTTCTGGTGTCCTCCGCCGTGATATTGCTGGAATATTGCTAAAAGCGGCGTAAAACAAAACTCACTAACTCACTCTACTCACTTGACAGTTACAAAAAAATACATACTCCTCCATCCCTACTCTGCCAGTGTCATCGTATACAGCATCAACTTGCGACAGATGACAGTGGACTTGGACGTCCTCACCTTCAAACGACACCACGCCACTATTCTTCTGAAGGTCCATTTCAATATACCCGTTCCAACCTTGTGTTGTATGAACACAAAAATAACCACAATGAGTTTTCCTAGTGCCTGGAATATTGCTAAAAGCGTCGTAAAACTTAACTCACTCACTATCTATCCAGAACGACGATGCAGCACTTGTCACAATCTAATGTGCGATATTCCAGCTACATGACAGCGGTGTGAAAGAATAAAGTCAGGATCAGACAATCCAGTGATTTGCACCATGAACATCGATCTACACAACTGGGACACGATGACATGCATCGACCTTGTCTGCAAGTTTGACCACTCCGCGATCCCGTTAGTTGCCTCTGACGACGTGCAGGTGTTGCAGAAGAGCGGCTCTCAATCCGATCTTTTATAATGTGCTAAAACATGGTCCAAGAGTGCATTCAGTAGACACTGGCAACTAGGGCTGGGACGGGTAGGAAAAAAATGGAATCGAGTACCCGCATGTACTTACCCGAATCGGAATCGAGTACCCGGAAATGTAAGGAATACAGAGCTTCTGTCAACTTTCTGAAGATTCAATCACTAGTTGAAAGAGATTATTGTAGAAAACTCGAATGGATGGCAATAAGACATTAAAACAGATCTAAGGCTATTTAATTTACGTCTGTTAAACCAATATATAGAGTAACACCATTACTTACATTCATTGTTAACATTTCGTACCCGCTGTTACTGTAACTTTCACTAGTTGGAGTCATTGTGCCTTTGTATAAGAAGGGTAACAGGCAAAACCCAAACAACTACAGGGGAATTTCTTTATTAAGTGTAATGGGTAAAATATTCACTAGTATTCTAGATTCACGTATTCGAGTTTGGCTGGACTTAAACAAAACTGTACACGAGTCACAGGCAGGTTTTAGAAATGGCTACTCAATATTTGATAATATTTTCATTCTACAGTCGCTTGTCCAAAATTCCCTAAGGAAACCTGGTCATAGGTTTTATGCTTCATTTATTGATTTTCGCAAGGCCTTTGACTTAGTAAATAGTGATAAGTTATTGTATGTACTGTTAAGCAAAGGTGTTCATGGTAAGATCTTTAGGATCTTAACAGACATATATAATAAGGTCAGAGCGTGCGTCCGAGTTGGCAGTAATAGGTCGGATATATTCACAACTTCACATGGCGTCAGACAAGGGTGTATGTTGAGTCCGGTATTGTTTATATATTTTATAAATGAGTTAGTAGAGGAAATGCAAAATAGTGGTATAAGGGGTATATTTGTCAAATCGGAACTGGACGACACTTTACTGCTGCTCTTTTCCGATGATGTCACCATGGTAGATGATTCTGTCGTAGGGCTGCAGCGAAAATTAGATTTCCTACATACACTTTATTTGAAATTGGGTCTGAGGTGAATTTAGATAAGTCTCAAATTATTGTCTTTAGAAATGGTGGCTATCTTAGAAGTACAGAGAAATGGTTTTATGATGGTAAGGAAATGAGAGTTGTTAGCTATTATAAGTATTTGTGTGTCATATTTTCCTCAAGGCTAGTGTGGTCTAAAGTTTGTGAAACTCTGTCGTTAACAGCAATGAAAGTGAGCATTCCTGTCAAACAAGTGCTGATAAAGTATGACGCACCTCATGAAATGGCTAAAAACATATTTGACACGAAAATAGCACCTATTTTGCTTTATGGCGCTGAAATTTGGGGATATACATATAGAGCAGATATTGGAAAGCTTCAGGGCTCGTTCTTCGGGGGAAGTATGTAGGTTTAGGAATATTCGTGTCTACAAAAACTGTGTTAGGGGAGTTGGGCAGATATCAAATGGCTGTTAAAAATTTTAGTCGTTGTATCAGGTACTGGTGTAGACTCGTGAGAATGAGTAGCCATTGGGGTTTACTCCCATAAGAACTACATCCCATTTGAACTACATCCCAAAATAACTACAGGGATTAATTAGGGATTAATTATTTGAGCAGAGGCACCCCATGACACGTAATGAGCACAGTCCATCAGCTCTCCCATATGAACTACTATTGACCAGTAATTATGTTGTTGTAAACATAATAACCAGAAAGTAAAGGACAAGAGAGAAGGGTATATTGTAGTTAGTTAATGTGCTTGTATTCATATGATAGGAAAACCACAAGCCAAGCCTAGCATATTGGTGTAAAAGGTATATTGGAGTAAAGGTGAAATATAAACGAAAGAGTTTTGAAGTTAAAATAGTATAATTGTTTATATACTGCAATCCAGTACCACGATGCAGTTGGCTACTTATTGAAGCTGGGCTAAACTAGTTCTACATGGATCAGATTGAACACCGAGGTTGAAAGTGACACTAAATTATCACACTAAATATTTAATCCTATCTATAGATGAACTCTCTGTACATCTATATATATAACTCCAGACTTTATCTGCACAAGATATTTCGCCGTTCAACAGCTCTTCATGTGTACAATGAAAACTAAGTGTCGTCATAAGCGATGCATAACGGTAGTAGCTATGTCGTCATCATGGGTATGACGTTAGTGACAATAGGTAATATGTAATAGATATATAAGACACAATTATCTTCTTAGGTAGTTGAAAATGCTGTTCATAAAGCAGTAAAAGTCCCAAGAGAGACACTTATGAAAACAAAAGAAACAAATACAGACATGGACATTCTTCTATTTGTTTGTACCTACAATCTAAATAACTGTACAATTATGCCCATTATAAAAGCAAATCTTCCAATTTTGTATAGAAGTGATACTATGAAAGAAGGTTTATCAGTCAGTGTAACAAAATGTCAAACACCACGATGTGGAACTTGTTCACTGAAGACTGCAAATTTACATTTTGTGAAGGCAAACTATTTACTATAAAAACCAACATGAACTGCCGCAGCAAAATGTTATATATGTTTTGTTTGTTTTCTGTTGGGCAAATCCATTAAGCAGACGCAGGTAACAGCATGAAGTTAATCTGTGCACCGGACCATAACATTTGTTGTTTTGTTATAGGAGGACACCGCAATAGGTATCCTCGAGCTTGTTATGAAATGCTTAAAGTCTTTGACGAAAAGGGAAATGTTAACTGGGTTTCTCATGTTCGTTCACTATTGTTTTAATTTGATGTTCTTTTGTGTGGATTACACAAAACACTGGCGACGTAGATGTATTTATGACAACGTTTCAGAAACGCTGCAAGGATGTCTGTTTCCAAACCTGGAGCAGTGATATTGGTAGTAGTTCTTTTCTTAAAGTTTATTTTGGAAACAGAAGTTTATATAACTGCGTTGTACACTAATAGAGACTTGATGCGTATTTTATGTAAATTTCGTTGCTTACCGCACAAATTGGGTGTCCAACAGTTGCATTTCAATAAAGACAATGTCGATAATACTATAGCAATATGTATCAAGTGTCATGTAGATGTCGTAGAAAACGGATACCACTTTTTAGTATGTCCTTATTACCATACAAGTCGGATGAAGTTTGTGCCTGGGTATTATCATATACATCCATCTGTCTTTAAGTTTAAGCAGTTGTTATATGCACAAAAAATATGAATGTTATTAAAAGTCTAGCAATCTATCTGAAGAGAAATCTACCTGTTTGACTGCTATATATTGATGTAGTATGTTTATGTATATGTATCGAATGCGCACAAGCAAAGAATTATGTATTTTCTGTACTCTGGGCCATGAGGCCATTATGCGAATAAACTCTCTCACTACTCACTGCGCAGATAAATTACAGTCGTTAATAATAACCTTCATTTATCGGACAATACCAATGATGTAATTGTGTGTTACGTCAATTGTGAAAAAGAAAAGTTATTATCTGCCCTAGTCATTACAGAGTTCCCTCCCTTTCCGGGTACTCGATTCCAAGAAATAGGACTCGATTCCAGCTGTACCCGACCCGGCTTCGAGTACCCGAGTACTCGTCCCAGCCCTACTGGCAACATAACATAAAAAACAGTGTAGCTCAAAAGCAACTGTGTAGTGAACTGGAAGTTAAAGAAGTATGGGCTCTATGGCGCTTTTCCGACATGGTAGATAAGTGACGTGATTTGCACCGGTAGACAGTCTTCTGTTTATGATCTCGCATATGTTTATGTCTGTGAGTGAGATACTGTTATATAATTAGTGCTGTTACAGCTATGAACGTATGACGTTCACAATCAGTGTGCTGAGGATAACTGCATGGTTAATGATGCGATAATCTGGGTCTGGGTCTCACTCACTGATCCCCGTTCTTTCATTCCCTTATTCCATGATACTGATCGGTGTGGTTAGCTGTGGTCAAATATCCAGACTAAAACCCTGATCTGTAAGCACGTGTTATTCGTACGGATACCGTATTCACGACATCAATCCTTCCTTCCGCGATACATGGTCCAGAGATACAGAGGTTAACTGACATGATTACACTAGAATACTTTCAGGAAGGTCTTATTGTAAGTTACCAGTGAAGATACGGCTTAGAGTTGACCTTTTAGCATCTCTTGTTTGTCGTAAGAAACGACTAACGGGATCGGATGGTCAGGCTTGCTGACTTGACACGTCATCGTATCCCAGTCACGTAGATCGATGCTAATGATATTCACCACTGTTGATATTGTGTCAAACGTTGATACAGGTGCTTGTGAATGTGTTAACACAGTGAAAGACACTATCAGTGTTACTAACGACACCCTGTGCGAGATAGGTGGGGATTGCTAACTAAATAATCTACGTGAATTGAGTGAGTGACTGACTGACTGTAAGTTAGGAATTGTGAAAGATACAAGCAGCATAAAAATTAAAAACGTAGTGTCACATACTATCTCTTCGTGAAGGAGTGGTGTGATTACTTGAATTATTGCAGCGTCAGTGCAACTGAGTTGTCTCCCCTCTCATTGGACGTACGAAGCGTACATAAAATATACATAATTATGTGTGAATCACACACTCTTAAAGATCACATCCAACCAAAAAAAACATAATTAAAACACAATTATCACTTATTCGTGACATATAATATGCATTGCTGATTATGAAAAACAAAATTATAAGCGTACAATTGCAAATCAAAAGTGCAATATTTGGTTTACCCAGTCAGAGCGGGTGGGTGTGCACTCAAGTGTAACGAAGCCTTTCATTGGCTGGTTCATTTGCCAATACGCTGGGGGGCTCATTGTGTGTGTGTATATAGAGATGTTGGGTCTTGTAAATACATGCTCATTTTTCTGCATTTGCTTTCGATCTAATTAACAAATACTGAGATGGCTGGGAACTGTCGTTCGTTCAAGTACAAAGCAGAAATTGAAACTGACAATCTGAGTTTTCTCCGGTTTCCGTCCGATCCAGTCATCCGAGAAAAATGGATGCAGTTTATTTGCAACCCACATACATAATAACGTGTCATGTGTACAAGTATCACACCTGAGACAGAACTCAGGTGCACGAGCCATAAATCAATGTATTTTGTTTATAGTGTATAGCCTGTTACGTTTCAAGTTCAAATTGCATGTGGTTAATGATTGAAGTTGTGTATTGCATGATATTGTCATTAGCAGACAGGCAGGCAGACACAAAGGTGTCAATAAAACAGATATTGAGTTTTGTCTATGACCAGATTTCTTATCACAATTAACATATTTTTCTGTTTCCATAGACATATATTAAAACATTTCAGTTTTCAAGCTGAGCATTTTTTAACAAAGAAATTAGTTTTTCTAATGCTACACTTTCTTGAACACTTGGTTTGCAAATCTGCCAACCCTCAAATAGCAAGATATGAAAACATATGAGAAAAAGTATGGGACCAGTGTATTTATACACTTTTTTAGTAATGTATATCAATTGACTCTTAAATAAAACTTTATCTTATCTTAGCCTATGTATTTTTATTACTGCAGACCAAAGATGCTTGTAATCACAAGAAACGTCTTTTGTTCTCCAACTTCGACCTTAGCGATAATCCTTGCACGCATCACTTGCTGTGTTTTTACGAGTCGCCTTCCCGGTTCAAGCTGAGCGAACCTAATCACTGTGCATGCGCTATGGGCGCAGCGCAGCACAGATGTTGAAAGCACTTTTTACCCCAGCGCTGGGGTAGAATTAGTGAATCGTTTGAACTCTGATTTCGTGGGGGTTTTTCATCGCGTTATCTTTCAACTTAATAAGTTCAATTTGCATTTTTGATGAGCCCATACCGAAAGGTATCAGAATCTGGAAAATGGTGTTTCGCGTTGCATGCGACCTTTAATCAAATCACGAAGAATACATTTCCTTCTTTTTTTAAATGTTACTTTTATATTCATTCTACGGAAACTGACGGTTCACAGAAATTATCTCACAGGATCGGAACAATAATGATTTTTTTTTTTAAATCTGGACAGTCTAGAAGAATTTTCCCCTATGCACCCATGTATTAAGAACAAGGGATCAGCATAGATACAGAGGTGAAAGAAACATTAAACGAAATACCGAACAAATTCCATCTACCAAAACGCTAATGGCTTATCGAATCAAGAAATCCGTTCATACTATACAAGTATATTATTATGGACAGGTCCATACATCCAATGTGCTAAGATCATATCATATATGTACCGATGAGAAAGATTGAGTTGACAGAGAAAACCCGGAAGGGCCCATAATTCACACCTTGTTATGTACACCCCGACTGTACCCTAAAACAAGATATCTAGTAAAGTCTGCCGTATTATTTCCCTGTGTTTCCCACCTCCAGGCCGACCTTAATTTTCGCGCAATAATAAAACATAACCTCAGGTCAATTGTCCCCACCGTTGTGGAAATGCAAGCTCTTGTCTAAGATGTGCCAAAAGAAATACCCTTATCTCTGCAAACTCGCAGAGCGCTTTCAAACTGCATTTATTATTTCCGAATCCAAGAGACATGATCTACAGAAGAGATTTAATCATCTTTATCAAACGATCTGAATTTAATAAATGTATTTGCATAATTACTGAAAAATTCTCTATTCATTTTTGTTCTTTTTTTTCACTCGCCCAATCTCTTGCTGGCTGAGGTGGCGGTGGGGTAACCTAATGGTTAAAGCGTTCGCTCATCACGCCAAAAACCCGGGTTCGATTCCCCACATGGGTACAATTTGTTAAGCCCATTCGGCCGGTGGGGTAGCCCAGTGGTTAAAGCGTTGGCTTGTCACGCCGATCCCTGGGTTCGCATCCCCACATGGGTACAATGTGTGAAACCCATTTCTGGTGTCCCCCGCCGTGATATTGCTGGAATATTGCTGAAAGCGGCGTAAAACTGAACTCACTCACTCAGTCAGTCAGTTAAGCCCATTCCTGGTGTCCCCCGTCGAGATATTGCTTGGATATTGCTAAAAGCAGCGTAAATCCAAACTAGTCTACCCCACCGCCCCTATGAAAAGGGAATTATGGTTGATCTATACAAATACCAAAGCCAAACACTAAGCAGCTATAGCTCTCACAATAAAAATTACTTAACATCATCCACACTAAATCATTCGTCTAAAACGTATGTATCAATGAAAGGTCACACATGTTATCTCACTTGTGAAGAACAGACATTATCCTTGAACACTTGATTTCACAAAAGTGCCACTTTCCACATTACTTTCAGCCCGACGTTGTCAGATCGAAATCCTGATTCTTCCCGTACCATGATATAGGTGGATCTCACTTCTGAGGATAATGTCTCTGGTCTGGAGCACTCCATCCTAATGTTTTGTGACTGCTGAAGTAATGATCATAACGGAGCTAATCCGGTATTAATCACTGGAACATCAGCAGAATCTGTAGATCTTTATTATAAAATGCATACGATACAAACACAGCTCATGTGTATTCAAGTGACAGAATGTCCGTACGTGTACACTACAGTCCGTTTGATTTCATTTGAGACCGATGAATTGTTCACTTACACAAAAGCTAATAAATGCAACAAAACCAAATTTAGCACAGTCACGTGAAATCGACAGACCAACTCTAATGATTTGTCTCATAATTTTAGACACCCGAATAAAAAGTTGTTTAACAAACGATTAGTATTTTGTTGTTACTTCACGCTATTTCTTACGAGGGGGGACAACTTGCTAGTAGAACAGCCAGATGTACGAGTTGCACGTGCGAAATTGAATTTCACTACACGCGTTTGTTGATTTGTGTACATCAATTACTCGGATTTTATCATGTAGTGCAGGACCACGCGACAACCACACTCTGGTTTAGGGCGGAAGTCTCCCGGCTGTAGGTAAATACCCATACGTTTCAGATCGTCATTGAGGAATGCGACAAGACTCGTACCGTCCGTTTTGTTGGAGGAATATTTCACGTTGATCACCTGATGCCCCTCGGGAATACCAACCACCTTGCACGAGGAGAATACGTGTTGAAATGAATCCGTAAATTGAATGTACAGGTGACCTCTTTGATACCGACTTGCGATCAACCCTTCTCGCACCTGATTCAAGCAATCATCATATCCGTCGATCTCTCGTTTCCACTTGTCTCTCAAAGCCTGTTTCAAGACTGGTTCCCATTTTAAAAGTTTAGCTCTTAATTGCTCTATGCCAAATATGTTTGCGTACTTATTTACATCAATAGCCTGGTCGGGAGGGGGCAGCGTCTCATGCCTCAGGAAGTTGAGGATGTGGACAAAAACGTCTCCATCCGCATCGATGAAGAAGCGGCCATCCTTGTCTTGGGGAATAGCGTACTTCCCACTGAACATATCGGCCAACTTGGAACCCGGGTACTTGGTGAGAGTTGAAACACGGGTGCTGAGATGTCGTCCGCCCACATTTAGATCAATGATTTCAGGGAACTGAAACATATGTATCCATGACTGTTAATAATCGAGCCTGGACCAGCCAGTCCAGTGACTGCAATCAAAGCATAGGTGTAATAATTGTATACTATACATTTACTGGGTGTCCGAACTGAATATAATCATGTTTGCCACGTATAGAATTATACTGAGAGTAACTGGTGTTCATATTCATACAAGATGTCGTCAGTATTGATACGGATGTGTTACTGGGTTAGGGTATCTCAAGCTTATCAAATGTCCAGAAAGGCATTTAGGTGTGTGAATTTTAATATTCAATCAATTACTGTATCCCCGAATAACACCATCTCTGCTGATGATTCAAAAGACAAAATATGTGAGAGAGTATAATTAATCTAACGCCGCTTTAGCATTATTCCTAGTACAGTATCTAGAGGCGCCCTGACATACGCTTGTGTTGCAAATGATCTTAAAATAGCATTCCACACGTGACTCGTGACGTATATAGGATGTTTGCGAGCCACGTATATAGAAAACACGCAGGCCCTGAAAAATAGTTAGATATAACAATAGTTAAAATAATTATTCAACACGAGTCAGTTTGGCGTGTTAAAGAGGATTCAGGGAGGATATCATAAGGAAGGCGTCAATCACGAGACTACCGATTTCCGTCAGCAAGCTATACGAGTAAGGTCATTTTGACCCAAGGCTGGGGAATACCAGGGCATGCGGTTTGCTTGTTCACACAGGGAATGTATATTCAACAATGATTTTGTATGGAGAAACATTTGCTCGAGGTTATAGTTCATGAAATGACAGTTACAAATAATAGATTTAAATCATCTGAATTTGTATATATCATCACTTGGAAACAGTTATGTTGGGGGTGTCTGGTTATGAGACAGGGGAAATGCGAAGGCTCTTCGTACTCCAGCCACCAGCCCCAACCCCCATAGCATCCCCCTTCCTTGTCAGCCCCGTATAGACAGTAGGCTGATCCCAGAGATTGTAAATCATTAATATTATAAGAAATTATATCAGCTACTCATTTGGTATCCTGTTACTTTACACATAACGCATACAAATGTTATTGATATTCTACGCTGTGTAAGCTATAAACACTATGGCAACATTTTGATACGTGGACAAGCATGTACTACAGTTTAGCACTGACCCAAACATTAACGGGATGCCATTGTGACTCATATGTATTATTATTCAACGTTATAGACAACTATATGTGCTTTCGAAAACAGGGCATTATTGTGAAATACTCTGTTTACATACTAGCATGTTTTAACACGTACCTCCATCCTTCTGTCACCTGATGATGCAGTGAAGTCTACGAGGAATGAGTGTGGTTCACTGGAGAGTTGAGCAGTTGAACTGTTGTGCTGGAACTTTCCTCAACTTTTATGTTCTACTTTCGGTTTTAATATCGAAATCTGGATACAGTGGACTTTCCATTCCGTGTCACTTGCTACTTATATATAACGTTATGACTCATCTGTGGGCTCATACAACGTAGGGGCGTGCCCCTGGGGTGGGATGTGAAAACAAGCGAGTGGGTGAAGTTGGTACTTGGCTTGAATTTGGTATTCACAAAATCAACCAGTGCTGTTAATCTGGTAAATAGTAATAACAACTGAAGCTGAAAAGGCTGTCCACGCCTGCATCCACACGGCGGCAAACCATTTGTTCGTAAAATTAAAAATTGCAATAAATAATTCATCACACATTTAAAACAATATGGACAATAATTGTTTCAGTTTATTTGCTACATGTCAAAATCATATTTTTTATAAGTGTGGTCATCGATTACCTGATTTACATACAATTAACAAATCGTTTCAACAGTAAATAATGCAGTTGCCTAATCAGGCAAGAAACCTGGTTATTGATACATTGCCGGCTGATGTGAAAATCAACATTCACTCACAAAATCATTAAATTATTAAAAAGCTATTATATGAATATATGACAAAAGTGTAACAATGTTGGCGTGCAAAATACATGCATCAATGTTAAGACCAGGTCCTGATTTCAAGTGATTCGTTGTGGAATAAGTGTTTACAGTTATTTACAATTATCCGATACCGCTAAACTCCTGCAAGGGGTAATACAACTGCATGCACTCGAGCTCATTAGTGTATCCAATAATCTAGAATAGAATACAACATATACAATATCTGCAGGTGTCCGAGTAGCGTGTGCAGTTCTACAGTGGTGACATTGTGAAGCTGATTAGTAACAGAAGCTGTGATGATCAACAGCCTGTCGTCGTCACATACGTTTGAAACCGTGTATATATCTAAGCTGTTCATGGTGGGCGGTATAAAAAGACAACACGCTGAACATTCAGGCAATCATTACATGACAGAGTGGGCGAAATACGTATCATGTTGGAAAGCGGACGTAAAGTCTCTAAAATATCATCATCATCATCACACTTGTCTACATGGAACTCGATAACGCCGAAGCAGATAGGCCATTTTCACCTTCTCTCTCGGACAAGTCGACCCTATCGACATGCCGTCGATCTGTAATGATTCCTGTCGGTAGATTATGGTGTATCAATACCACTTGCTTCAGTACTATGGGCTTTATCCCTTGTCCTCTTAAGCGTGTTGCATCGCGTCAAGACGTATTTCTGCTGCTTGGTGCCTCTCAGTTCCTCCAGTGTCAAAGGTAGTAATGAGTCATAACAGGGCACGCATGGTTATGTGGACTGTTCAACTAATGTTCAAATGTAAACCTTCCTATCCACAAAGCCAGGGATCAGTTGAGCGTCTGACTGGTGACTTTAAGGTCATGTTGATTGTTTGACAGTATGATTTTACACACCCACAGTTATATAGGAAGTAGGTCTAAATATGTACCAGATTATCAAACTGCTAACTTTAAGGCGAACATATGAACTGTAAATAATTAAATGAATGAACATAAACATTATTCTAAAATTTATAATAACGTTTCAACGTAAATCTGTCTAACACACTGTGAGATATTACAAACACAAGTATTCATTTCTATCAAATAGTGTTAGGGACTATCAAGATCTGAAACAACAACGATCTACAACCAAATTTATACACAACCATATATGTTTGTACTAGCTTCGTAAAGGAAAATGGAAAAGATAGTCGGTATGTGATTCCACAACTTCTAAAAATGCCACCCAATGAAGTTCTCCCTGCCCCCTCCCACCATTGCCATCTTCTGTTAAAGGGGCCTAGGGAAAACAATTTACGTCCTTTTCAGATGGAGACGAAATGCGAATTTCTGTTGGTGACGTTGTTGGTGACGTTGTGCTCTTTCACTTTATTTGCAACAGGACTCCGATGTGAGAGTTACAGTTGCTGTGTATGTTTCCTCCAAAGATGAAGAAGCCCAGGCGCTGTACGTCATGTGCCAGAAGATTGAGCACTGATGGTCGTCTGTAATGATCATATTCAGACAAATTTATATCAATCACTGAATATCCTGAACTAGGAAGACTACAAGTGTAATACCCACATAAACACGAATTTAACTTTGTGGTGAGACAAATAGACCTTGAAGAAAAGTCTAATTTTTTCAGTCCACGTTCCACGACTTCCCAGTGACGGGTGTAATTGGTAACGTTTGATAAACAATTGCTCCTCCATATATCATAGAGTGTATCTCTGTTGTCTTGGATATTTGAAATACCTTCCTTCAGGACATCTAATCCAAAGTAATCTGCATACTTCCGAACATCTGCAGCTGCTTCAGGGGGAGGCATTGTCTCGAATCTCAGAAAGTTAAGGACGTGGACAAACACGTCTCCATCTACATCGATGAAGTAGCGGCCATCTTTGTCTTGGATCACTGGTTGCCTTCCACTAAACATGGCGGCCAACATCGAGTCCGGGTACTTGGTGAGGGTCGAGAGTAATGTGGTCAGATGTCGTCCTCCCACATTTAAGTCGACGACACCAGGGAACTGAAACGCAGAAAAATAAATATCTGTACTAATCGATACCAGGTTAGACATTAATTCTCCTTTTTGTATATATATATACATAATGTATTCTAGTGATGCCATCTCGAAGTCAAGAATAATCTGAATAATACCTGACCATAACAATGTCGTGGCTACTTGCGGATTGCATATTTACCTCTTCATCTGAGTGTTTGCTTCAAATTTACTAATACATTCAAGTGTATATTTTAAATTTGCATATACATCTAAGTACTCATTTTCACCTCAGTATTCAAAGGTCTCAGTAAAAACGATGTGGTTTTAGTGTGTAAAATAGGTTGAAGACATAATGACATTATCTTTACAGTGACCTCTTACCAAGAATCATAAACCTATATTTTGAGGCAGTTCTCTGGTCTGACAACTAACACTTCAAGTTAATTAACAAAGTTGAAATAATCCTATTCCTAACATCCTCAACTTATCATCCTATAAGATTTCAGGAGAGACACCTTGCTTGCTCATTAATCAGCCTGAACCACCACGCAGTGTCACAATGCATATTGTATGCGATCGAGGCGGCATTGTGAAATATCTCGCGAGACTCCACGATGTCAGTTCATGAGTGTAAACAGGAATGATTACACAAAACTCCAGTAGTACTCACACTTGAAGCCATACTGCGTAATACGAGCAGGTAGTTCGAAGGTGGTCAAAGGATAGATACTTGTTGTATTCGCTGTGCGCTGTGAGAGAATAGGTACGGCGTCACTAAATTGTAGCTCGACTGACTTTTCCCTTCTCAAATATTTGCTACCTACACCTTTGTAGAGATCGAAGGTTACCAGTCAGATAAAGGTGCACGAAAGCAGTTGTATTATCGTTCGGCAGCTTGACTACAGAGACTTGCTAAAACTTCGCTTTTGCTTCATATTCACATGGCTTTGCTGGATATATGCCTCTGTTCACTCGTGAATGGCATCCCGTAGGACGAGATATGCGATAGTGTTGTTGACTTTTTATCAGCTAATAGACAGCTTTGCTTGTTATATCCGGAGGCAGCTGAGAGTGCACACTGATTTATTGGACGGGTGAGTCATAACAGAGGCCATGTGGGTTAGGCGGCTGACTTTGTGTGCTGGCGATAAGGTGCCTGACTCTGGGGGTGTGGGTTCGAATCCCGGATGAGACTCAATCCAACAATAGTACTAGAATCTGTACTTTACTTAGAAAGTGAATCCCAAATATAACATATGTTACATTTGACCACTTTCTAAATGACATTGTGTAATCATAAGCCATGCGCATTATCATTTTACGTTTTTACTGTTGAGAAGGATATATCAGTATGCTATTTTCCTAACTGGTGTCATATAATATTGATATGTTGTTTTGATTGTCTGTAACTGTTATTCGCCATGTGTTGAACGTCGCTACATGTGTATCACAGATCACCATAGGTCACCATAGGTCAAGGTTACTACATCCCGGACATAGATATCAGCCCCGTACGATAAATAGTTTCAGGCGAATACCCTAAACATCGAATGTAGATGCAGATGTAGATGTGTGTGTGTGTGTGTGTGTGTGTGTGTGTGTGTGTGTGTGTGTGTGTGTGTGTGTGTGTGTGTGTGTGTGTGTGTGTGTGTGTGTGTGTGTGTGTGAGTGAGTGAGTGAGTGAGAAGGAGTGTCTGAGGTTGAGGTCTATGCAACATATAAAATCATTGCTTTTCAACTTCCTTAAGTGGCATTTAGAAGCTGGTATGATGAAGTGGAACACTTTTCATGATAGACAACTTCTTTGTTGCAACTACTGCTGCTGCACTGATGATCCTAAGATAACATTCGACACGTGACTCGTGACGTATATAAGATCATCGTCAGCGATGTACATAAAAGACACCTTCAAATGTAGTAAAATGTATATTCAGATTCAGTTTTTACGTGTTTTTGTATTTTAAAAAAGGCATCGAAGTTTTCAGAAGACGAATCTTTAACCACTAGACTACCGATTTCGCTTAGCAAGCAAAACAAACAAGGTCATTTTGACCCATGGCTTGGGGATACCGGGGCATGCGGTTGATTATCCACACACTGAATGTATATTCAACACAACTTTGGCATGGAGGAGTAACTCTCTACTATCGGTGATAGAATGAAAAAGAATTGATCTAGTTTATAGCTGATGAATAAGAGTTACATGGAGTTGATTCATATCATCTGAATTTGTAATATATGTATACACCTGTGCATTACTTAAGCACCACCCTATTTTGAAAATAAGACGTGATGCTACAGAAAAGTTAGGGTATAGCCATCAATTTGATCAACCTGTAATTGAAGAAGTTTTATCCACTGACAGTTTTACAAATACCATAACCATTTCTATTCTTTATGAAAGAATATGTTGATGAAAATCTGATGGGACTGAATTTTTACCCCAAATAACTATTCCTCTCCCGCTCAAACTACACAATTAAATTAAGATTTGACTAAAAATTACAATTCTGTTATATACCAAGATGGCATTTACACATCAAGTGGCTTTAATTATGCATAATCAGGAAGAACCCGAATGTCAAAGATTCAGACCTTTTTCCAACAATTCAGTGGGCTAATTGACAAAAACTGAAAAAGGCCACATTAAAAATATTTTGGAATAATTGTTTTATGATTTTGAGTTTATTGTAATGAATAAATACTTCTCCTTGCCGGATACTGATAATTACAGCTAAAACCTGTTTGTTTTGTTTGTAAAGCAACTTTTACTGCATTTTAAAATTTTCCTTTTTTCAGTTTGAATGTAACTTTTCCTAAATCTTAGTTTACAAACTTTCATCCACTCACAATAAATAACGAATTTATAGACCACACAACAATCAATTATTACTTTCACTTTTCAAACTAAGGTAACTTATTTTAGGACAGAAAAACACCTGTTTTAAATATAGGCAATTATCCTAATTAAAATACATGGTAATTTCAATGTTTTCGTTTTTGAAATGGTTAAATGCTTGCTCTATCAAATTATAAAGGCTATTTTTTGGAAAGAGTTTAGAATTTAATTTCAGACAAAAATTGGTAAAAATAAAGGGTGGTGCTTAATTTATGCACAGATGTATACATCACTGAGAAACTGTAATGGTGGGAGTTTCTGCAATACGAAACGGGAAATGTGGAGGCTTTCTAGGTCCTCCAGCCACCAGTCCCACCTGATTAACAAACTCAACACATCACTCTTTCTTATCGGTGGGGTGTAAAATATTATAATTCAATTGAAAAAAATCATGCTGCTTTTTTAAAACGTTTTTTTGAGGGTTGGGAAATTCGCATCTAATAAAGCTAATCTGGGCGAAGTTGGGCGGTATAATATGTTTACCACTACACAGTTGCGTGTTGTTAAATACTGGAGTAAGTTCGTTAGAATGAGAAATAATCGCTACCCTCACCAATGTTATAAAATGTTAACAGTAACTGATGAAAGTGGAAAATGTAGTTGGGTGTCTGATTTAAGAATGTTATTATTTACAGGTGTTTTTACTTATTTGTGGATAAGCCAAGATGTTGGCAATGTTTCGTTATTCTTAAATATTTTCTCTCAACGTCTGAAAGCCATATCTTTTAAAAATTGCACGCAAGTATTAAAAACTCAAAGTTTTTAAGGCATTATAGTAATCTAAACTCTCTTTTAGAGCCCGAAATGTACTTTCTCCATTTGAATGACATATCTTTAATCAGAGCATTTTGTAAATTTTGAATTGCTTTACACAACCTTAGAGTTAACAATTATTGTAAATCTGAAGATAAAGATTTGAGTAATTCATTTTGTAAATGATGTAATATCGGGGCATTAGAAGATGAATTTCATGTCATGTTTGTCTGTGAGAAATATTCAACTATTTGTAAAACATATATATTCCATCTCACCTAAATGTGTATAGCATTCTGAGTACCAAAAATGTCAACATTATTAAAAATGTAGCCATATATTTAAGAAATGTGTTTAATTTACGCCTTACGTCGCTGTCACGTGATACTTAAATGTATTGAATGAATTTGCCATTGTACTAATTCTGTTCTGTTCTGCTTTCTTATCTAATCTTTGTTGGGTTGTTTGCACTTAGCAATATTCCGGCTATGTGCAGGTGGTCTGTAATTAATCGAGTCTTCACTAAATAGTCATTAGTGATAAACGGCATGAGCATCAATCTACGCAGCGAAGAAACTATGATGTGTGTCAACGAAGTCAGTGAACCTGACCACCCGATCCCGTTAGTCGCATCTTATGGAAAGTTATCGTGACTATGTATGACACTGTGAAATCATCACAATGGTGAGATATCTGGCTTCTTTCTATGCACCCTGGGTATTAAACAAGGGGAAGTAATGTCACCGATTCTTTTCTCCCTATACATGAAGATATTGAAGTAGCACTACAGGAAAATATCGGCGCGGGATTGCTGCTCGACTATATTTACCTTATTATACTACTATTAGCTGACGATATGGTGCTCATATCCGAATCACCTGGAGGTTTGCAGCTATCACTGAATACGCTTTCGAATTATTGGGCAGACTGGAACCTTAAAGAACCACTAAACTTTGTTTTTTTGTTACTCTTTTAACCATTACATATGAAAGATTTGTGGTTAGTCTTATGCGGAACACCAAATTTATTCTTTAAAAACTTGTGGTTAATTAATACCGAGCGATTAAAAGTGGCCAAAAAGTCGCCTGCCTCCCTGTCGCCCGCCAACGAAACCACAGACAGGTTACGTAACTCTGTCGCCAGAGCACTGCAGTGACGTCATATGAGGAACGATTTTCAGTTAGTTGTATAGAAAATGTGTAGCACGCTCATCATTTTGATGATTTCTCGACATCAACGACGACATGCCGAATCGTTGCTTTGTCGTCAATTGCTCCTAGGGGTCGGGCGATGGTGTCCCCATGCACAGATTTCCACAGGACCCTGCAGTTCGTGCTAAATGGGTTATGTTTGTGAGTGCGAAGCGAGCGTTGTGGAAGCCTGAAACGATATCTTACTTGTGTCAGATCGCTTTACGGAAGTTAAAGAATCAAAACTACTTACTAATTCTAGTAAAATATGCATATGATTGATGACCATAAAAATGTTCTATGACACAACTTGTAACATAACGATTTCTTCCTCGGAAGTGAGTTTGTGGTCGAAGTAACAATAATATTGTAAGTAGTATTATATTCACACCCACCTCGCTGCCACGAGAGAAATTGTTATGTTATACGCTATGTCATGCAAAATCCTATTGGCCATCAATAAAATACATATTTTACTACCAGTAGAAAGTAGTTTTGATTTTGTAACTCGGTGAAAACAAACCTAAATACCATTTATCCTCAGACTGGCGGATGTTCCCGACAGGGCGCCGCCATTTTTTTAAAAATAAAAAAAATCTGTTAGAATTAATGAGATTATAGTTTGTTTTCATCAAGTTAGAAAATCAAGACTACTTTCTACTCGTAGTTAAATATGTATTGGAATCATAACCAAACGGATTTTGCATGACACAACTTATAACATAACGATTTCTTCCACGGAAGCGAGGTGGGGGTCGAAGTCACAATACTGCGCGACAAATTCCTTCTACATTCCCATGGTTAATGTCCATCACCAGTATGTAGATACTAGTCAATGTGCGTCTGTATATTTGTTCTTATAATCCTAATTAGTTTATTATCATACTTGTATGCATTTTGAAACTAAATAAAAAGCAGACGATCTGCTGATACTTATAGTGAATTTATAACAGAACTGTAATATCTAGACATTTTATAGTTTGCCAATGTGAATCATTATTCGCACACACACCCTAGAGCATGTTGTCTGTCTCATTACACTTCACGGCGAAAACAATGATTCTGTTGAATGCTAGAAACAAATGAATAAAAACAAAATGCAAATATTAAAATTAAAACAGATTAAAGTTATAGGAACAATATCAGGCCATTACCTTGTTCGAGGAATGTATCCATCAATATCCACAAAACTGTTCCAAATGATGTGTCTTTTAACAGTTTAATATACGAAAAAGTGATAAATCTTTTCAG